TGCCCGCCAGTGCAGACATAAACTGACCTCGCATTATTCATACAAATAAGTTTTGGCAAAAAATCAAGTTGTCATCCGAAAAAGAATAAATGTGAGACAATTAGGACGTTCTTGCATTTAAACGCATGTGCTCTATATATAAATTGATTAGAGTCTACCTAAAGGAGTAGTAATAATCACTGGGCCGAGGGGGGGGGGGATATTGATACCCATGTCATAATTAGCTTCACCTATCTGAAGCAAACAATTTCCATATCATAGCTATAAATAATCATTTATCAAATTAGGAACACATATTTTGAAATTTTCTTAAACACAAAAAGGGCTAAAGGCAACTTTACTTGTTTTATCGAATTAGACAAAAAGAATAAGGAAATAGTTAGTTTTAATAATATTCAATAGAGTAATATTATTTGTACATTATATTTGAGTCACATATCTCGCAATTCAATCAAATTGATTTAATCACTTAACCACTCATTATGGCGGACTTACTATTGGGCAAATGACCGCAAACCCAAACACAAGGAATTAAGAATCGAAGAATGCTTTTGTAATCATTCTATTGTAATAGCTTAGTTGACTGTTGATTATTATTTTTTATGTTCAGTTAAATATCCTATGATCTATCATTTCTCCTTCTATTAGGAAGGATTTGAGTATAAAATGACGCGAGGAATTGTTTGAAGTAAACCGAACCATTTGTCACAAGAGAACACTCTTAGGATACTTGGGATCTTAACCAAGACAATTTAATACTATGAACCTATTCTTTTCATTCTTTATCACAACTTAAAATATCAGTTAGCAATATTTTCTCTTTGGGAACGATAATTTGGGACTTAATCACTCCCCTTTATTATTTGATGTGTGCACTTGCGCGAAGTGGTCTTCATTTTAGGGAACAAATATGTTTCCTCTGATTGATTATAAGAAGAACCAAAGTCACAATCTTGGGAACGAATGTATTTTTCTTGATAGATTGCAAGCGGATCCAACAATTACTCATGACTAATTTATTGCATTTTGTGTGTCAACTAGTTACCTTCGTTGTTAACAACAACCATGCCACTTTTGAGCTATTGATTAGGTCAAATTATAAAAAGATGTATGATATATAAATTTTTTTTACTGAGAAGTATGCTTCCACTTGAACGGTTTAAATGTAAAATTATTAGAGAATGCTATTATATTAGAATTCATGATTAGTGAGGGTTTACTCCTTCATGTGGACAATATCATGAATTAGGACAAATGGTGTAAAAGTTTCCATGAATTACTATTGGTGATTACCACCAAAGTGGGATTGCTTGTATGGATTCATGGAAAAAAATTTATAATTTAAGGAACACTTATGGTTATTTCATGCAATTTTCTGCCCAAATATGGTTATTGTGTGTTTTGGTTGGAAGTTTGACTTTGAGATTAAGTTAATGGGGGTATATTGGTCTACGAGATCTGTCTTCCCAAAGGGGATATATTTATGTAGTGCATGCTCATTGAGCAACTTGTATATAAGGATTATAGATAAAGTTATTGGAGACGCATTCGTCTAGGGCTAGGGATCCATCTGCCCAAAGGTGATGAATTTTTGAACCCAATGTTGTGCTCCTTAATTAACTCATAAGGTTTTTAACATTTGTGAGACATGATGTTGGACCCACTTACTATGATTAGATTCTAGCTTAGCCCATTGGTGGTGGTCCCCCTCTACAGGCTCCCTTTGGCCCGCCTGACAAGGTCACATGGGCAGCAAACTCTCCCTACCAAATTTTAACACAACTGTGTTCCCAGGGTCTTAGACTTGAGAACTGTACTTTATGTAGCTGAATTTTTATTTGCAAGTAAGTTGTTGATTTATTGAATGAAGAAAAAACTTTTTTTATTTAAAAGTTTTGGTATGAAATACCTTGGAGCAACCCCCTTTGGTATGAAATACCTTGGAGCAGCCCCCTTTGGTATGAAATACCTTGGGGCCGTTTGGTACACGGCATTTGGTAGGATTCCCGGGAAACTGAATTTTTCTAAATTTTAAATTTTCGGATATTATCGTAAACTGAATGTAAAAATCATATTTTTGAAAATCGAGATTCCCGGCTAAATAAAAATTTCTCCTCTACCAAACGCCCTAAAATGGAAGTTACACTCAATGCTTTCTTTTCGATGTTTTAGATTCTTTTGATTCCCTAGATCAGACCTTTTTTTTAAATAAAGGTCTGACTTATGATTTGGTCTACATTAGGCTAACAGACCAGACCAAGTTTAAAATATTTTACATAAACCAAAGTCTGGTCTGACCCACTCTATTTACACCAGGACCGATAAGAATTAGTGTGTTACATTGCTGATCACATTTTAGCTCTAATTCTTATTGCACTACTAAGCTCATCATTCATGAAGATGTAATATTTATTGTATGTGAGTGTGTAAGGTCATATGCTATCATATTTTTGGTATATTGATCACCATGATCCTATGGCAGGGTTATGTTATGTTGTATTTAATTGTATTAAGATGCTGGAATTGTAATATTGCTTTTTAAAATTTTGGCAACATAAAATGATTTTCCGATTATTAACTCGATATAGTTGTTTCAAAATAAAATGAGAATTTTAAAATAATATCAAATTAATTAATATAACCCAAGTGGGAGAATGTTAGAAATTTTTCTATTTGTGGGTAATATTAATTAATTAATTTTGTATTTTAAAATGGATATTTCAATTTTAATTATTATGGTTAGCCTATTATGATCAAGAGGAGTTGGACTTTTGACATCTACTGTTATTGGGCCAAGTAGGCCAGCATTATAGGCTTTAATGTGAGCCTAATTTTCATGATGGGTACATGCGATGGACATAAAAAAAAAATTAGAATATCTGGCCAGATCACCTTTAAGTTTATTTGTATTGTGGTTAAGTCATATGAACAATCACATTCTCATCGCAAAAAGACTTCCATTTTTTAAATAGGTTAAGAGAGAGATCCTAGATCATAAAGTTTTTTCCTTTTTTCCGATTTTGTGATCGTCCACCAAGATAAGTACAATCATAACTTTCATTTCCTATTATTTGAATATTTTGTAATCATATATATGATTAGAAATTTAGTTTTATCACGATAATAGTTGATAGCTGTGTTAAAACGAGACATAACATATGAATTTAATTTTTATATTTAATCTATTTCAAAAAATAAAACACAACATGACATGAGATTAAAAATTGACATATTTTAATTTCATTAAAGTAAAAAAAAAAAGAAAAAAATCAAACAAATGTTCTTTCGTGTGTTCAATCCTTATAATGTTCTTTTGTGTTAAGTATCCATTTGTATCTATGTGAACGGGGGATCAATTAATGGTCTGAGTTTAATTAGAAGAATCATTTACTTGAATTCATGGTCTGGTTTCAATTTAGAAAAATCTTTTACCTGAATCAAACTGCTACGGAACATTTGCAATCATTACTGAGTCCCACGTAACAAACAGATAACTATATAAATAGAATTGTAGGACCCCACGTTAATATCTTTCTTTATCGCTATCTGTGCTAAATATCTTACACACAACGCGTTCGTTATCAATTATTATAGCACGTCAGGACTCAAGCCTCCGCCAACAACCTTGATATTTTGAAATTGGGTTATTTTTCTCATGTTACAATAAGAAAACAAATTTTTTCTACGTATCATAAAAAAGTGTGTCACTTATTTTTTTAATTTTTGTTTATTTTTAAATATGTGAATCTCACACTTGATGTATTTATGACATGAGATTAGAAAGATTTATTTTTGCCTTTGAAATTTATCCACAATTTATGTAAGCAATTAAGACGCCTCCTTTTTCACTTCAGAATTCTGCTGTTAAGATATATAAAACTATTAATATAGCGTCACTTGACAGCTTAAGCCTTTGAGTTGAAGTGATTCTTTACATGGTATCACTTATCAGAGCCTCAGTGTATCGGGTTCGATCCACACCGCTCCTCATTTTCTTTCAAGTGAAATTTCTTTCTTCGCACAGGTAGTTGGGTCTGGGCGTCCATCAGCTTAAGCTTTTGGATTAGAGTGGTTCTTTACACCTACTCATGTAGAATTATTTTTTTTTGGATAAAATGTTTATATAATAATACGGGTTTAATTTAATATTCTGTTCTTCCTGTGAATTGAGACCCACTCTATTTTATAAGCGGAATAAAAAATTCTGCAATAAATGTTGAAATATATTTTCCTATCAATATATAATAGAAATAATCTTTTTTCTTTTTCTTTTTTGAAAACTATCTATTTTTTCTTTAACATCCGTCACATATATTAAAAATAAATAAAACGCATAACACGCAATTAGCCCAATTTTGTTTTTCAGGATATCGTGCAAAGGATCCTCTCAAACAAGGAAATATATAGATAAATATTAGGTAATAATGTTGACAGAAATTTGACTAGAGTACGATACCAAGCCTGTTATCAGAATTTAATTTGAAAACGTAGGAGCAAAGGTAAATTTTGAAAAATAAAAGAAATGCCAAGCCTCTTAAATGTTCTTAATATAATTTTTCTTTAATTATTTCATAATCAATCAATATGTATTGCATTACCTTCTTTTATATTAACATCAAAGCTAAAATAACACATATAAAATGACTAGAATAAAAAATCTTCTCCTAGAGTAATTACTAATCTTTCCAATTAAATGCATGGAAATTGATAGATTGAGCTTATAACCATTTTTCTAGAGGAGCTGCCTAGTGTCGTCGTGGGATAGCACCCGTGTCAGGTACGCTAACGTGCGAACAAAGCCATTAACCATTTGTGGTAGTCCTAATTGCCAACTGGATTTCTTCTCTTGTTCTTCTTAACTTCTCCCCAAGCCACAAATACACAACACCTCTCTCTTTCTCTCTCTCTCTCTGTATATATGTATATACACACACATTGATGTGATAATTCCTTCATCCAAGACAAAATTAGATCTCATTGTCTTTAAGATTTTTTATGAGATGACATGTACTGGGTGGCTTTGTTCTCTGCCAAGAAGAGCAGGTGAGTTTATTTTATACAACTCCTCTATTCGTTCATATAATATAAAAATATCTTCTCATAATCGGTGGATATATTTATAGCTTATTTTCTCTTATAATTTTTTACAATCGATTTTTTTCATAGTTGCATCAAAATTAAAATAATAATTCTCATTTAATGTTATTTTATAATTATTGATTTAATTTTAATTTAACGATAAAAAAGTTATTGTAAAAAAAATTAAATTGTAAGCTTAATATCTCTCATAGGCATATATATATGCTTTATAATTTTACCATTCTATACGATAAAATCGATTAATTAATGAAATGCTTGATTTTGCAAGGAAACATTTCAGAGATGTTGGAAGCATTAATTAATAATTCAAGTTCCTTGGCTGCAACTATAAGTCTTGCTTTTCTTCTTATTTTCTTGATTAGATGCTTCTTTTTGTTAACTCACAAATAATCATAGGGGATGCATACATGATGGATAAAGTAATAGTTCCCACAAAATTCGCTAAGATAATTAGTTATATAACAATGAAGTTCATTTTATGCAAATTAACCAGGTAAATCACGGAAAGAATGTGATGAAGATAACTTGTGTAGCAAGCCAAACGTCAATGAAGAATATCTTGAAGCATTCAGAACAAAGTCTTTTATCGAAATATGCAACAAAGCACAAGGGAAGTTTGGAAAGGCAAGCACCAGAAAACTGTGTCCCTCTTCTACAACATCATCTTCACTTCCTTTCTGCATTCATCTAACCGAGTATTTGCTTGAACCACGGCAAGAAATCATAACAAACATGATGCAGAGCTTGAAAGTGCATCATCTTCTTGTGGACTACTTCGAAGCTAGCTTAGAAGCATGTCGTTGTTGTGACACAATCCTTGAAGGGATTCATTCAATGCGACTTTCTTGTAGAAGAATGACAAGAGTTGTTAAGCTAAGCAAAAGGGTGTTTGGTTGTGCAAATACCAATGACGAAACACAAAAGGATATTTATAGAGAGCTTGCTTCATTTGCGTTACAAAACAACCCTTTGTCCCTTGTTAGCACCATGCAATTCCGTGACATTCACGATAGGTACATGGAACTCCTGCATAGACTAAAATCACGGAGAGGGAGAATTCGAAGAATATTAACATTAAAGAGAGTTTTCAAGAAGGTTGGAGGAATTGCTCTTGTTACTTCACATAGTATTGTTCTTATTGCTTTATTAGTCTTTTCTTTTCATAGCATTGTTGGGTTGGTGGCAGCACCAAGTATTGTGGGTGGCTTAATTGGTTTGTTCATAAAGAGAACGAAGAGGGTTCATGAAGGGCTTAGCAAAAACTCTTCTGAAAGACTCTGCGAACAACTTGATGTTGCTGCAAAAGGGGTTTATATACTGATCAATGACTTGGATACTATGAGTACGATGGTTAAGAGGTTGCATGATGAGGTTGAACACAGGAAAACGGTTGCTGATGTTTGTGTGAAGAATGGTAGAAGTGAAATATTGAAGCAGGTTATGAATGAATTTCATGATCATGAGTCTAGCTTTTTGGACCAATTGGAAGAGCTTGAAGAACATATTTACTTGTGCTTTCTCACCATAAACAGGTCCAGGAGACTCGTTCTGCAAGAGATTACGGATAAAAAACAATGAAAAATTGGGCACTTTCTCTCTTCCTTCATGACACATCTTCTAAAAAATTCTTCGAAGGTGCATGAACTCAGTTCCATTTGAAGCTATATAGCCATATGGTTTTGATGAGTGCTCTAATTAGTTTCATTTTGTTTCCTTCAATTTTCCTAGACCAGAACATATATTTGTCTGTAGAAGGTCACATAAAACTAAAAATCTTTGGTTTGTATCAATTAGAAGTTATTTTTAGTCTAATTTTTGTTCTGCTGTAAGTTTTTATTGTACAATATTGATTTGTAGGCTTTAATGGCCAGTTTATATTACAAATTTGATGCTCATTGTCACATGATACAGCCTTATACCTGTCATAAAGTTTGCGACCTAATTAGAGGAAGAAAATCACGTTTTTTCCGCCTTTTATTATATATATATATATATATATATATATATATATATATATATATATATATACGAGGTAGGATCTTTTGACACCAGTGTTAAATTTGAAATTTGACACCTCATCTGATAGCCGTTAGATCAAAAAAGATGATCAATGGTGTCACATGCTTACAAATCAGAGCCGTTGATCTTTTTTGATCTAACGACTTTCAGATGAAATGTCAAATTTCAAATTTGACACTGGTGTCAAAGGATCCTACCTCATATATATATATATAAAAATAGGGAGGGTTACACTATGTATTTCCCGAGAGTACATAATATAATTTGCAAAAATTTTGAAACGGATTGTTGAGATATAAAATCATTAATGTAACCTCACCCAATAGCTTAAGTTTTTGGGTTGAATTAGTTCTTTACATGGTATCAGAGCCTCGGTGTACCGGGTTCGATCCTCCCCGCCCCTCACTTTCTTTCTAGTGGAATTTTTTTCTTCGCACAGGTAGGTGGACCTGTGCATCATCCACCCTTCAAGCCCAAGTGGGCTTTCGTGTGAGGGGGCGAGATATATAAAATCATTAATGTAACTTCACCCAACAGCTTAAGCTTTTGGGTTGAATTGGTTCTTTACACAGATCATTCTCCTAAAGTAAATGTAGATAAGTTATCTACATTCGCTACTAAAACGACGTCATTTTAAGTTAAAAAATTAAAAAATCATAATGAAAAAGATTATTATAACCTTGAAATAAATTATAATTACAAAAATACCTTGATTTTTACCTCAAAACGACGTCGTTATGGGCTCAATGTAGATAAGTTATCTACATTTATCTATATTGTCGGTATAAAAAATAACCCTTATATATATATACATATTCGATAGATCACTAATGGGCGCTGATTAATCCGAATTCAAGCAGTTAGAACCACAAACGCATTTGATTGATCACTGATGGGCCCCGCTTAATCCGAATTCAAAGCGGTTAGGAGAAAATTTAATATGGTCCAGGATCATTGAATCATTATGTGCTCCCTCTCACAACGATATTTTTTTTTTCTAATTTTATCTAATTTTTTTCTTCCTTTTCCATTTTTGCCCCACTATTTATGAGAAGGGACCACCAAAATAATGGTGGTTCAGGACCACCAAAATAATGGTGGTCCAGGACCACCAAAAACGTTCTCAGCGGTTAGAACCAGAAAGGCACCAAAATTGTCCCCAACTAAGTTTTTAATACATGTGCATACATTTCTGCCTGTTTTTAATGGTAATGGAGAAAAAACTCATGTGGTAGCTGTCACGCAAGCACAAAAATTACTAGATTCACGTGGATACAGAAGTTAGCAAAAATTGCAAAACGGATGCAAAAACTAATATCTGGAGTGCAAAGGTGTATATCAATTAAAATTATTATATTTTAATAAATAGTTTGTAAAAATAATCCGGAGGTTATGACGTGGTTGCCACACATTATGAGGAATGAATACCTCATATAATTTTTAATTATTTATAGACAAATCAATTATCATAGAGAAAGAAAATGATGATAATTTATTTATTTTTTTATTTATAGACTGAGATAGCCTCAATTAGTCCATTCCTCAGGAAAACTTAGAAGATTATTATTGATATCTTACGTACAGAAATATTACTTGATAAAAACTTTACATTTCCTTTTTCTTTTTTAAGTTTTTCACGCGAACAAATAAAAAGAAAAAGAGAAATTAGGGGAACGACGTTATTAAAAAAAAAATCCAGTTGTAAGCTATTCCTGATAACACAACTCTATTTAAATGTAACATACCTATAATAAATGTAATATAAATTATAGGAGGCGGTTATACTTATCACCATTTTATGTTTATCACTCTTATTACTTCTTTAATTATTGTTTGATCAATTTGAAATCAGTAGTTGAAAAAAAGGAAAAATTAACTACCGTTAATTTCAAATTAATCCAATGGTAACCAAACAGGAATGATCGATCCAACTCAAATTGAGCTTGGCCTAATCACACACAGTTGAAGTGTAGGATGCTAAAGAAGAGAAGAAGAGATGGCAAGGGGGCTTGTCGAGATGTTGAATAGCTTTCGCGAGATGATTGATCAACACTTTGCATATTTGGATAGTTTGAGAATGACTGGGGTACCTGCAAAGGCACTCTGACACTCAAGTCAGTTCAGTATTTAAAGAGGTTCAAGTTGTAACAGCCCGTTGTACACCGGTATTGTTAACATTAATTATGATATTAAGCGCAGTCATAATCACAACAATTCATTTGTAAAAATGCGAGTAAACATTTTCCGTTTATTACGCGAACATTTAAAACAATAAAGCGTAAAAATTAAAAACTGTGACCGTAACTGTAAACTCTTTGCGGAATAATTATTAAAACTACTTTGATAACTTATTTTACTTCCCATAAGTCACTAAAGGGTTCCCATAAACCCACTTAGCATATTTCTCACTTTTACGTTTTCTACCTATCCGAACATGGTTTGGTCATTAATTTTCTGCGGATAAACTGCATTCTACAAACCTTCCATCTTTTGATATGTTATTCTACACTCAATTACTTTTCTAGGAAGGTATCACACGAGTTATTTAGAACTCGTTTGCTCCGGATATCGTCGTTTGAAGTTGGACAAGCAAAGTTGCCAGCCAACCCCAAAACAGCTCCAAACATCTCTCACTCAACGAATTACTGAAGAAAATCCACTCCACCAATTTCTCTTAAATTTTTATACAAAAAACTAGACACCTCAAGCTTCAATTTGATATATTATACACCTAATTTGACCAAGAAACGAAGCATAAATAAATTTCCCAAACTTGGTCCAGAACTGCTCAATGTGCAGTAGCCCACTGAATAGTCTGCGTTCTCTGCCTCCTACAGGCCTACGTCCAACCCAGTTTTTTACCAATTTTTACCACAAGATAGAGGACATCTCAAGCTTCAAAATGGAGTATGGAACGTCCCTATCGGACCTTTGTAGAGGGAGATATGCTCTCCCAAAGTTTGCCTAAATTATGCCAATTTCTAGAAAATTCACCAAAGTTTTCTTTTCTTTTTTACAAAAATTCCCAAATTTGCAAAGCGATCTAAGACCTCAAAATGTACCTAATAATCATATGGTGGCACACACAAGGACCCTTCATAGTTTATATCAAGTTACTCAATACATGTCATATTGCTTACTCTATAACACTTAGCACATTTCAATCACCAATGTCCATTTGCATGCATTTTCTAAACATACATATAATAATCATCATAAAATAGGCCTATTGCCCTTTCATCATATTACATCAAGTATACATGTACAATTACAACTTCTCAATTACATATTACAATTCATAACCTTCAATTACAACATAAAGCATGAACCTTAAAATGACATATACAACTAGACTTAGGCATAATGACATGAACAGATATGACAATGAATCTCCTCCTAAATACATATGCAATGTTCATGTTCTAAGTCTAGCCTAGGCCCAATGGCCCCAAAAAAGCAAAATGTATAATCCTCCATCTAGTCATCCTACGGGCTTCTTGCCCGCCGCTCCTGCACCACTGCTACCTCCTGAAATAAAGCCCCCAAGACGGGGTGAGATATGCGAATATATCTCAGTAACCCAGAGGTTCCGGAGAATACTTCGCCCAATGGCTCACTTCGATGCATATAAATATCATAAAATAACATCTTGAAAACGGGATAAAGCAAGGGATTTAGAGAAACCGGGGAACATAGGGATACAAAATACGACGAAGCTGAAATGGTCGATGCCAATACCACGAAACGTCCAGCCTAATGGCTCGGCATATAAGTGTAACACCCCGTGTTAACCCGGTTTGTTAACATGTCATCGTATTAAGCCACGCTTAATTTAAAAATGCAGAATATCTTTTTCTTTTCAATTATGACGTCGTTATCATTACCAACTTGGTTATTTAATCATTTTCATAAAAACATCGCATGTATATATATTGCAAAGACATCTAACTGAAATACCTCATTAATTAAATATCATAAGTTTGTCTCTAGTCACGGGACTACAACACGTAGACCGGACAACCTAATAGTTTATACAACACAGGTAAAGGTACTAACATCAAAGCGGCATGGACAAACCCCATGCTCACCAAATAAGGAAACAAGCCCCAACAGCAGTCTCAACTCAATAATCATAAATGACAGAAAACATAAACAACATCCAAGTCCATCATGTCAGAATACAGCATAATAGCATGATAACAACATAATCTAACTTAGCTCCGGCCTCCTGCCGCTAAAGGAATCAACCCCCGCATCACCTGAACCTGAAATGTGTGCCCCAAACGTGGGGTGAGATCTCTAAACAGAAATCTCAGTAAGACAAGGGGTCTTCAAGGATCTCCCACCCCAAGCTCACTTACATGTGCAATATAAGTTCAAAAGGCAGTTTAACAGTATAAGTTCTCAAAATAGTGCAATGCAGCATATAATCATGTCATGTGTGTTATAACATTTCTACTGATCAGAGAAGTGCAGGAACCCATCTAAACCCACACAGTACTAGCCATTCGATGTACTCGCCCACAAGATCGCCCCTTGGCCTCCCGTAGGCGTAACAC